TTTGGTACAGTCTAAGGCTAGAGCTAATGATTTAAATCTGGAACGTTTTATTATTATTATTATTATTATTATTATTATTATTATTATTATTATTATTATTATTATTATTATTATTATTATTTTTCATTATTGTTTCAAAAGGACTTCGAATTTCTTTTTCCAATATAAAAAAAATAAAAAAATGGTTGATTAAAAAAGTTGATTTTTTTTTTTAATTCTGTTGGGAATATCACTTGTGAGTTGTCCCACATTGATTTGAGAGTGTAAATGAGCCTAGTTTATAAGCCTAGTGGGCTACTCCTCCCATCACCAATTGGTTTTGGGATGGAACCTCACTTGGGCTTCATACCCTTTTGTGGTGCGCTTCATTTGTGTGGGACCACACTCATATTGTCCCGTTTGACAAATTCTTGTAAACAAACATAATATCAACAACTGCTGTCACATATATTTATCATATAATCGCAGCATATTTAACTATATACTCATCTAAATCTAAAAATAAATATAATAATACAACGGAGTATCACACAAAGCGAACCAGAAAAGTAGAATGGGGCCAGCCTAAACTAATAAAACACTACTACTAGAGATTATCAAGATTTTATTTTTCTTTTGACACAGGATTATTAATTAGGAACTAAGAGTAAATTAAAAGATAAGATTTGCTTTCAACTTTTTCGGCATCATATTATAATAATAATAATAATAGTTATAAAAATACCAAATAAATGTATATTTTTCTTTATGTTATTTAAGAAATGACTTTTCAAAATTTTAAAATAGATATGTTTATTGAAGTAACATAACATAAGTCAACACAAATTACATGATATTGTAAAACAGTAAACTTTAATTCTTATTTATTCACCCCAAATGGCCTGTACGGTTATACGCAGTTTCTAATTATTCTCTCTCATAATTCTGGCTAGCGCGAGTGCTGCGAAAAACAGTATAAAAAAAAAAAATAAATAAATAAAATGGGGATGTCATCTTCATCTTCATCGGCCACATCATGTTTCCTCGTCTTTCTTATAGTACTCAATAACCAAACACTCTCCTCCGCCGCGCAGCCGAAAATGCACGAATTCCAAAGGAAGCTCCGCCAGAAAACCGCCGCTTTCAGCAGCTCGGCCGCCGCAAATTCCAACCCTCCCAAGGTAAATAAATAAATTGAAACAAATGCTTGTAACTTGAGTGCATCAAATTGAGTGATAAATTGATTTATTCTTTTTTTTTTAATTTATATTTAATATCAACAACAATTAGAGCATTGGCAGAGTATTTTATCCGGTCGGGTACGGAGCAGATCCGACGGGTGTGAAGGACAGCTCGTCGGCGATAATGGCGGCCATAAACGAGGCTGCGGCTACAGCGGCGGGGCATGGGCTGATGCCCGGAATTAGAGATTTTGGAGGCGCCATCATCGATTTGCTAGGTGGGAATTATTTGATTAGCAAGCCCATCACATTTCCATCTGGGATTGGCAACATTGTGGTACGTTTTACCTTTTTATTATTTTTTTTTTTTTATTTTTTTCTTTTTGCTTAACAACTTTTATCAGACATGCGTGAATCATTAGTAAAACCATTTTACTGCTTTGCTCTTGAAACTTCGACAACAATGTACATTTCATATGTTTAGTCGTCAAGGTAGAAAAACTTCACTTTTTAACCCAACTATGATTAGTGAAAGGTAGAAAAACGTCCTTAGTGTATAATAAAATATTTATATGAGAAAGAAAAGTAATCATAACATATATAATTATATACTATTAATTAAAGTTGGGTTAATTTACTAATGTAGAGTAGATGTGAATGACAAAAATTGGTTTCTTATTACGATATTTGGTCAGTAACTCATTATAACTCTAACCATAAATTTCTTCTATCTAATTGATTCAATGCTTATTGTAAATAAATAATACTTATGAGAGTAATTATTGATATTCTCTTCATTGTGAAATAGAATTGACTATTATTAAATAATCTTCAGCCACATAATAAGTCAATAGTTTATACTACCTCCTTTTTTAAATAAACATCTTAATGTCTAGATACATAGCAAAATAGATGAATCAAAAAAGTCAAAACGACATTTATTTAAAAAAAAGAGGGAGTAGTAATTTTTATAGTAAAACATGAAAAAAAAAAAAAAAAAAAAAAAAAAAAAAAAAAAAAGGTAGCCAAACGATAATAGCGGCTTGGACGGCCAATGGTTCGGGTGAGTGGCGCCACCACTGTGCTCACTAATTAGTTAGTTTTGATAAAATTATTAAAATTAGTTTTGTTTTTTTCCACGTGGTGTGTTTGTTGTGGGTTGTCGTGTTTGTAGTCTCCAAGTTTGGTCTTTTCATATATTACTTTTACTTTTTTACCCAAACAACTACACCGGACAATTTTGCTTAAAGTCCTAGGCACGCGTTAATGCAATCACACCACTACGGAAATTACAAGCATACAAGAAATTTCAAAAAAAAAAAAATAAATAAATAAATTACATTTTAACTCAACTATTTTTTAACTCAATTTTAACTCAATTCCACTATCATTAATATTATGAATATAATTAAATAATATCAATCAATCATTCATACCCACCACATCAACCTTAATTCACTGTTCATCCACTCACTTTACTTTAACTAACCATCACACCTAAATTTTTAATTATTTTATTTTAATATACCCACTAACAATTAACTATATTACATTTTTCAAAATTAACCAAACCAAACCAAAAAAATCCAACAAAACAAAAAATTTTCATATCCGAACATGCCTAACATTCGGATTTCCACACAAGATGTACTCACAATTTTTTATTTTTTATTTTTTGTTTTTGTCTAGAGTTTGTGATCTTATAATGTTGAAGCCTAATAAATTGTGCATCATATTACAATATTAAATCTATCGAACTCAATATATAATTTCAATTCATACAATTAAACTAATAAAATGAAATTTTATAATTGAACTTGAATTGAGAAGAGAATTATCGAGGTGAAATGATTGGTTGGGCCAAAAACATGCAAATAAATTATAGAATGGGCCCAAGGCGCAAGCCCAACGATTCAAGTCCAAACCACAATTTATTTGTTAAATACCAAACAAGTACTAAGGTCTAAGTCCAATGCCAAAGCCTTATAAAGGCGAGCAGTGTTGTGTCGAGCCAAGCCAACGAGTCGGTATGTGTGTACCTACGAGTTGCCGAAATCATCACCTACATTTAGTACATGACATTTAATTCAACTTTGATCATGGCAAAAAATGTCACTCTTTAAATCAGTACTTGGTATTACATAGTACCATATCATAATCAACCCAATACTAAATCCAAAAGAAAATTCCCTAACATTGCTCTTGTGAAATGTACCACAGACGCAAGGAGGCAGCCTGAGGGCATCCAACACATTCCCCGGCGACAAGCACCTCATCCAACTCATCTTCTCCCCTCCATCTCCCAAATTAACCTCATCATCTCCGGCCAACTTTTCCGACCAAAAAGACAGCAACTCCGACAACATCCGCTACGAATCCATCACTTTCCGAGACATCCTATTCGACTCCTCCCTCCGGGGCGGCGGCATTGCCGTGTTCGACTCCGCTCGTATCCGCATCCTGGACTCCTTCTTCCTCCGCTTCACCACCCAAGGAATCCTCGTCCGCCGTGGCCATGAGACCTTCGTCTCCCGTTGCTTCCTCGGCCAACACCCCAACGACGGCAACGACCCAACCGAACCCACCTTCGCCGGCACCGGAATCGACCTCTCCGGCAACGACAACGCCGTGACTGACGTCGTCGTTTTCTCCGCCCTCACCGGAGTCTCCATCTCCGGGCAGGCCAATATCATCACCGGAGCCCATTGCTACAATAAGGCCGCGGGTTTCGGTGGTGTCGGGATTTACCTCTTTAAAGGGTCGACCCAGAATCGGATCGTCAACTCGTATTTGGACTATAACAGCATTGTGATTGAGGATCCCGATCGGGTCCTTATCTCCGGAGGTTTTTTTCTCGGCGGGGGGAATGTGAGGTTGAAGGCGGTGGGTGGCGGGATATCGGGCCTCACGATTGTCGACAACATTTTCTCCGACGACAGGAAAAAGAACGTTCCGTGCGTGGAGCTCGACGGGCGTTTCGGGAACAATATCGATCAATTGGTGGTGGACCGGAATGTCGTGAAGGGGATGAAGATGAGATCGACGGTGGGGAAAACGGTGGTGAGGGGAAAAGGGAAGAAGTGGAAGGCCGATTTCTCGGATTTTCTATTGTTTCCAGATAAAATAAACCACGTCTCGTATTCGTTTTACCTAAAGGGAGATCAAAGGTTTCCGTCGCATGCGGTGACGAACGTGTCGGGGAATGTTGTGGTGATCGAGAGCCGGCGTGAGGTGGATGCCGTGGTGTCGGTTTTGGTTGATCAGTATAACACCGTTGGGGAGGAGAAATTGTAATTTGATGGTTATATTTATGTGAAAAAAAAAAAAGAAAAAGTTTTTTCTATTTCTTCTTCTTTTTGAAGGTTTTTTGTTCACTTATGGTAGCTATACTTTCTCGACAAGGCACGGTTCGATTTCTCATTCTCACTGATGTATACAATACATGTAGTAAACATGATAGCTAGTTAACGTATGTACAAGTTTTTCCAGTGTCGTATAATCGTAAGTCTTCGTGTATACGAGATTTTCATTTTTGCTGTTCAACTTGCAGTCCTGTGTACATTAATTGTCCTGTTACAAGTTACAACTAGTTCTGAACTGAATGTTTAAATTTAGTTGTCGTCTCCGATTGAGCAGCAATCAATCCACGATTCCCCATCACAGTTTATTTGAATTTACTAGCAAGCACATATCAATTTCCAACTTTGGATATCTGATTTTGTAGAGAATTTCGATACATATATAGCAGATACAAAATGAGGTCATAAATATTACAAGAACAACATTGTTACGTACATTATTGCATATAAATATCAAAAATACTATAAACATAACATACTCTAGCAGCAAGACATTATCACACACACGGTTTACACCATAAACTGATTAATCAGCTACAAACGCAGATACATATCTCGTTTTCCCCTGTTTCCAAAACAGATATTGCCTCATCTTAATCTAGATCAAGAATCTGCTTACCATATAAATTCAACATCCCCAAAAGTCATCGCCACTTGTTCCGGCTAACCCAGGATAATCTTCCGGTTTCGAATACTTATCCGGGTCGAAATAACCGAGACTCAACGGGCTATCAATCCTCATATCATAATCGACAGTTGGAAAAAACGAGCCGAAATCACGATCATCACTAACTGCAAGATTGATACTGTTAGCAGTAGCAGTAATAGCAGCAGTAGTAGTATCGTTCGTGTTGAACGCAGACGAACTTTGATCTAACCGGCTGTTTTCGTACCACGGTTGACTGCCCTGTTCAGCTTTATACTGCGCAAAGTTCAGATTAATCGGGCCTTTGTAATTCTCGTACAATGTAGACTCACTTTGACAGCCCGTGAACTTTTGCACGAGGGCCTGAAAGTTACTAGCGTTCACGTTGAGAAGGGTCGTGGGAGCCTTTTTAGAAGCCCGGGAGGAGGAGCGCCTTTGGCTCGGCTTCCCGATGCTGGCTTTCGGGCTCAAAGCCGAGTGGTAGACAGTGTCAGACGGTTCTTGATCGATTAAATCGGGCCTGGTGGTGACCATTTCTTGGTATTTTCGGGCGCATTCATCCGGGCTTTGCATGTTCTCCAAAGTTGGATTAAAGTGTGTATAGTGTATGATAATAGAGAAGAGTAGTGTAGGTGTGTGTAAAATGTAATCAATCACTCTTTTTAAATTTATTTTGTTCCCAAGTTCCTTGCGAGTAAGAAATAATGATATGTTAGCTCGTCACAAGTTTATAATTTTTTTGGTAACCAGCCATGGTATCCGGGACTATGCCCCGACTAATTCGTTGGACGACCCGGGTCGCACTCCTTGCAGTGGTGGGTGAGTCTCCCAACAAGAGATTTTCTGCATCCACAAGGACTTGAACCCGAAACCTTGCTTAAACGACATCAAGTTGTTTACCACTGGAGCCAACATTGTTCTGTTGGTACAAGTTTATAATCTTTAATCTAGCTAGCTAACCCAAATTAGATTTTATTATAAAAAACAATTTTATGGGGTCAAATTTTGAACGTTGACCTTTCCTATGAATATGATGGGTGAATTTTTTTGGAAAGGGGTTTATGTGGTAAATAAATGAGAAAGTTCCTAGATGCAAACAATGCTTCTTTACTAATTTGCATGGTGGAGTGCTTGTAAATTTCGTAAAGAGATTATATAATTATTAAGTAATAAAAACAAGGAAGTGAGATTTAATTTATTAAATTGAAAAATGCATATAATTATTACAACTAAACAAAAATGATTGTTTACATGAGATTAAGAAATTATCCAATTAGGAGGAATTAATATTGGACTAATAGAAAGATACAGATATTATATACTAACAAGATTATGAACATTCTAATTAATTATATTAACTCTCCAGAAAAAAAAAAAAATGAAGGCTGAAAATAAAAATATCATAAGTTAGACATGTGCCCTACAGTTAGATGAAGGTGGAATAAAATTCAAATTAAAAACCGACTATTATCTATTGTTAAAATAATGTAGTTCAATAATTAATTAGTGTTTCATATGTTGCAAGATTTTTTTTTTTTAATTTTTTGATCGGTAAATATAAATTTATATATAAAAAACTGAAGTACAAAGACCGATAATCGACAAACAAAAGCACAGTGGGCAATTTTATGCTCGGCTCCTCACTCGTGTGAGAATAGTATTAGAGGACAATCACAAGTCGAGTGCTCACTCAAGACCCAAATCAATATAAAGAAAAACATAAGTACAAAAACTCTCCATGAAAGGGAAAATCCTATAAACTAGACATGGCCACGGGTCGGCCCGCGACCCGGCTCGACCGGCACTGAAACCGACCCGGCCCGACCCGTATAAGTGTGGTTATGAACAGGCCCGGAATTTCTTAAGCGGCGGTTAAGGGCCGTCTTTCACCAATTTTTGACATGTCGGGCCGGGCCGAACTCCAACCCGGCACCTGACCACCTCTACTATAAATCAAGGGTATTTCTTTCATATTCGACAAGCACATTCGGATATAATGTGAAAATTGCAAAAGAATTTTTCTGACTGTACGTACTTGTATATAATTTAATTTGTTGAGGAATTGTACAGAAAAAATATGTACGGTTCACACTTAAATTCAAGTAGCTAGGCTAGCAACACGTCTTAGTACGTAGCTTAATTAAAGGGAGAAGTCAAAGTAGGAACTTTGGATATAATTGCATTTATATATTCTTCCCACATGCTTTGACTGATTCTATGAAAATTCTCTTTTACAATTTAAAAAAATAAAATAAAAATGAAACTGATCAGAAAAGGTGAAAATAACTAAAAATAACAAAAATACCTAAATAATTATTAAAGAAAGAAACAAAAATTTGAAATTAAAATACTAAAAATTAATATAAATATATATTTCTTGGCTCAATTAATAGAGGCCTTATTTTTGTTTTTGTTGTTTGGCAATGGAGTTTGGATGAAAAATTGGGGTTGAGATGGATGACGTCTTGGTCAAGTTAAATGTGAACAATGTTTGGGTTGGGTGGGTCCCTTAATTTCCAATAAGTCTTTATTTTCTATCGCTGACTACAAATTAAATCGATGAGCATCAAACTGAACACCAAATGCATTCTCTCTCGTCTACATAATTAATTTCCTCGCAAGTATATATGAATTAGTCCAATCAACTAATTTATCTCTTTCGCTTTTAATGAGATGGTTTGGGTCTCTTCCAGTTTAACCAGTGGTTTCGTGTTCGAGCTTTTAGAATGTAGCAATGTTAAAAACTCTTGAGGGAGAGCTTTGTCGCCCTTGTGGTCCTACCCGACTCGATTCCAGATTAATCAATTTCCCTATGAATCCGAAAACCGGAAGATCCCTGTACCAAAAAAAAAAAAAAAAACTAATTTATCCCATCATTTGGACAATATAATATATTTTGTCTAGTAAGGTCATATATATTTTTGCATTGGGGACCATAATCTATTCATTAACATTTGATATGTACTCAAAAACAAATATTCTTACTTAATTATTTGTAGACTTGTGTATGTAATAACTGGGCAAAAAACTAATGAAGCACTCTCCAGATTTCTGCTCAGACCTATTAAATAAACCGAGTCATTTGTTAGGGCTCGGGCAGTTCCAGATCTTAGTTAACGAGTTCGACTCATTAAAGTTTGAAATTTAATTTATCATACCTCGACTCATTAAGGTTCGAATTTAGCTCGAACCTAAGCAATAATCAAATTGAGTTCGAGCTCGGCTTGTACCAATTTAAATGTTTACAATGTAATTTGGTTTAAAGAATTCTTGATGGCAACGAGATCGCATTGGTGTACATGGACAAGTTTGATCGCCTTCGTATCTAGTTATTTATTTATTTAGTATTTCTAGCCTTTTTATTTATTTCCTTTGTTTGGGATATTTATTGCTTAAAATAAGTTATGTTTTGGAGGAGTCTATTTAAAGGACAATGGTTCTCATTGTAAGTTGGTTTTTTACGATTGAAAATAAAAATCTCTTGAGTTCTATCAGAGAATTCATATTCTTCCCATAGTACGTTTTCTACTGCGTCAATTCTGTTACATAAAACCCAAGTGTTGCTAATTTACAGAAAACAAACTAAATTTACGACTTTTAACAAATTGGAGAATATTAAAATATGATCCCAATAAGATTGTTATTGTATAATACAATATAATAAAGATGTCTTAATAATGTGTAGAATAATGAGATGGTACGTTGTTACAATATCAACTAATTGACTATATATATTTGTGATATATATATATATGTCGGAACTGATGTTATCAATGGTCAAAACATTGACTTTGAAAAAATAGAAAATTTGATCCAGTCCAAGTCTGGACATATATAGTTGGAGATGGGGACATACTACCAATTTCATTTGGTTTTTTTTAAATGTTACCCAAAATTTGAATGAAATTAATTAAGAATCAAATTAATTAAGAATCATATCATGAGTTCCAGTTTAATTTTGACTTCACTAATCATGGGTCTATTTTCCATACCAACCCCAGAGAAATTTAATTCTATCGTTTTTTTTTTTTTTAATATATGTGTGTCTATTTTTATCCAATAGTAAAAAACTTTGCAGTCATCAACAGGATCAAATATAATGCTCATCATGCACGTGTTGTGTTTAGTCAACCTTAATTTTTTCCTTAATTAAATTCATTAATCATCCAAAAACACTACGTACAACGTAACACCACAGTACTGCATATGACACTGTGAACTTGATATGAATTGACAACTTTAATTATATAAAATTTGGTACAGCTCCAAAATTACATGAAACTACCAACTTTCTAAGAAAAAGGAGCTAGAAACGGCCGCGATTTGAGTACTCGTGAGTGTTTTCCGGTGAGGAGGCAAAGCAGAGAGTAATCGGGCCTTTCGGGGCCGAATGTTCATTCGTGTGGCAGCCCGTGTGCTGCTGGACCAGGGCCCGGAAGTTGGTGATGCTGGCATTGAGAAAGGTCGTGGGGTGGGCCGATTGCGAGTTCTTGGCCCGCCTGGCCCGTTTCTGTTTTCCTGGGCTGGTCACAGGGTTCGCGATTTCCGGGCTGGAAGAGGCGTACAACAAAGTGCTGTTATTGCCCCGCACGATTTGACTCGACACGAAAGGGACTTCATTATAATTAGTAGTAGTGTTGTAGAAATTTGTGTGATCGTCATGATCATGAGGAAAGCCTTGGTAGAGATATTGTTCCCATTCAGTACTATAGTTATGGATTTGGTCACTCATGGTGATTATATATATATAGTACTACTTCTTTTGTTTTTGTTTCTGTTATATGTTTAATTGGTGGGGGGTTTGATTGATGTTGTTTTCAGTGTGGGATATTTATATACATATTGAAGAGCTGCAAGAGTGATGAGCAAGACACTTACATAAGATTTAAGACACAGTCAAAGTAGCTAGCTACCCATATACAGTAGTATATGTTTTGTGGATATATATATATCATCATATATGAATGTTATGACAAAAGATGTGTGCTGACTTTTTGGAGTCTGCTTCGAGGAAGCTGCCTTATGAGTTAATCATCTGACTTAATCAAATTTTAATATCACAATTAATGCCAAAGATTGAGGATGAAAATCGTTAATTAATAGAATATATATCATGAGAATACACAATTTTTTTTTTTTTTTTCTGAAAATGTTTGTGAATTCTAACAAGTTTACTTATAGACAATATATATCTAAGTGTACGTAGTTACTCACTTTCGTTTCCCAAATTGAATTATTTTGTTTGTTTTAATTAATCTATGATATAAAAATTGGGTGTTAATTATGTGTTTAGTGAGAAAAATATTTCAAAGTGAAAAATAAAAGGCTCGAAACCCGAAGCCCTTTCTTTAGAGATAGTGAGTTGGTTTACTCGATCAAAACAGGCGGAGCCAAATTTGACAAAACTGAACCATTTGTCCAGTGTGTGGATAGATAGATACTCATAATTGTTATTTTTTTTTTCTTAATTTTTTATTTATTTTGGAAAAAAAAATATATATATATACGTGAGGATAAACTAAACTGATTTTATTTTTTATTTTATTTTTCCCAATAGGACAAAAGTAATTGGGAAACTAATTTTACACTACTTTGGCCATTTGAATATTTGGTAGCGAATGTAATGAATATAAATGAAGATCTTTTTATTATATTTTCTTACCACCTTAGTAACTCAAATGAGATTTGTTGCTCCATTTTTTTTTTAATTTTATTCTATTGGATTGGATAAGTTACATATATGCATACAATCATGCAAACAGAAAATAAAACTAAAAGAAATAATAAAGGAAGAAAAGAATATATATATATTTTTTTTTAAGAAAGACATTAGTTATTAGTTAAATGCTTGAATATTTGGAAATATTTCGTGTTAATAAAAGGTTAATTAAAGTGGTCAGCGTATAGGAATTAGTCAGCGTTCAAAACCGGGAAGGACTGTGACAGCTGAAGAATCACCCAATTTCATGGTTTCCTTTCCAAGTTTTTGAATTTTGACTAGTCATATTATAATAAACCACATTTTATTGTAATACAAAAATTTAGCATATGTTAT